CCTAACCTAACCTTTTATTTTTTCCAAACTTACCCTTTATTTTTCGTAACCTAACCTCTTCTATATTAATTGTGTGCATACCATCATAAAGTTGTTAATATTTAATACAACATAGTTGTGTGTCAGCCAAAAGGGCTGGTCAAGGTTCATTGGAATTAATCCCTATGTTCTTGTTCACTTTTATATATATATATATATATATATATATATATATATATATATATATATATATATATATATATATATATATATATATATATATATATATATATATATATATATATGTTATATATATATATATATATATGCAAATAAATCATTGTAGGTGCGCTGTGATCCAGGTATATGCTGATAACTTCACAAGGGAAAGTGTCACTGCTCCTAAGCGCTGTAATTCACATTTCAGGGTGAGTACAGACTAAGGAGAAGAAGCACAAAACAAGGTGTATATATACAGAGGAGGGTGAGATCAAGTCCACAATGGTTGTAGATAGGTAATGGCCTCACTAATCTTTTAAAAAGCAATCAAGAACGTCGGTAGTCGTTAGAGGGTAAGGTGACCAAACCTTTCTCCTGGTTACAAATCTCTAATTACAAATTGTCCAGTTTGTACATGCCATTACTCACCCAGTTGATCAAGCTTCGGCATATTTATGAGACTCAGATTCTATAATGTTCCTACTGTCAATCTCTGAATTACAAGGCAATATTGCGGAGGCATTATCCCGTCAATGCATTGCTTATCTTCAAATGAACAAACAGAGCATTGATTGCATACCATCATAAAGTTAAGCTAATATTTTTACTACAACATAGTTGTGTGTCACAAAAGTGGAGTTTGGGGTCGGCCAGTGTCTATTGAATTAATCCTATGTTCTGTTGTTCACTTTACGCATGGTAATCTCATGGGTTCAATTTGACTAGTAAATTGTGGGTATATATATATATATATATATATATATATATATATATATATATATATATATATATATATATATATATATATATATATATATATATATATATATATATATATATATATATATATATATATATATATATATATATATATGCAAGTAAATCACTGTAGGTGCGCGTGATCCAGGTATATGCTGATAACCACAAGGAAAAAGAAAACACGAAGTTCCCAAGCGCTTTCGTGTAATTCACATCTTCAGGGGTGAGTACAGACTAAGGAGAAGTACAAAACAAGGTGTATATATACAGAGGAGGGTGAGATCAGGTCCACAATGGTCAGGTATTAGGTAATGACCCTACTAATCTTTAAAAAGCACCGCAACGGTCGGTAGTCAGGTCAGAGGGTAAGGTGACCCAACCTTCTCACCTGGTTACAAATCTTCTTAATTACAAAATTGTCCAGTTTGTACATGCCATTACTCAAATTCATGTTGACTGCTTCGGTATGTTTAATGAGACTAGATTCTATAATGTTTCCAGTACAATGTCAGATGAATCCCTCAAATGAACAAACAGAGCATTGGATTCCTGGCCTGTCCTAACACTATATTTATGTTGTTTAAGTCTAGTTACACGATCTTTACCTGTCTGGCCTAAGTAAAACATATTACATTCCTTGCAAGGAACTTTATAAATGCAACCAATTGTGTTGTTGGGGGAGTTCCTGATTAACATTTGTTTAACAGTGCATGAGTTTTTAAATGCCACATTGACGTTCCAGGTTTTTAGTTGTAAAGGAATTTGAGAGAAATTTTTTGTGAAATGGTAATACTAAGAGGTTCTTTTGGTCATGGGTGGGCTTGGGATCAGTTCTATAAAAAGATTTCTTAGTAATGTTCAGGCATTTGTCTATGAAAGATCTAGAGTATTTAAGGTTTGAGCCAATATTATAGATATATTTATATTCCTCATCAATGAATTCCGGGCTGCAAATTCTCAAAGCACGTAAAAACATTGTTGAAAATACTGACTGTTTGACTCTATTATGGTGGGCAGAATAATAATGAATGTATGAACACACATTAGTAGGTTTTCTATAAGTACTGAACTTAAAGGTGTTACCTATTCTGTGTATCAGACAGTCTAGGAATGGCAATTTACAGTCATGCTCTAATTCCACAGTGAATTTGATCGAGAGGGCTAAGTTATTAAGTTGTGGCAGGAAAGCTTTTAGGTCCTCATTACTTGGCCAGAGACATAATACATCATCTACATATCTAAACCAGAATGCTGACGGTGGTAAAATATTACTTAATAGATTCTTTTCAAAGAATTCCATATATAGGTTGCTTAATACAGGTGAGAGTGGATTACCCATTGCCATACCAAATTTTTGAGCATAATATTCTCCATTGAATTCAAATTTACAATCCTTAATACATAGTTTGACGAGTTCGATGAAATCATCTTTCGAGACGGGCAATGAAATATTATCCAGGGAATCTATGAGGAACTCCAGTAAATCATCAACTGGGACCTTTGTAAAGAGTGATGTTACATCAAAACTGACCAGTTTAAAATCATAATTAATGTGTAAGTTATTGAGTTTATCAACCAGATCCATATTATTCTTTATATTAGAGTTAGAAATGTTGTCAACTAGGGGATTTAGTAAAGAAACTAACCATTTAGATAATTTATGAGAGATTGACCCAACTAAGCTAATGATGGGTCTTGCTGGGTTATTAGGCTGGTCAGTTTTGATGTAACATCACTCTTTACAAAGGTCCCAGTTGATGATTTACTGGAGTTCCTTACCCTCTGACCTGACTACCGACCGTTGCAGTGCTTTTTTAAAGATTAGTAGGGTCATTACCTAATACCTGACCATTGTGGACTTGATCTCACCCTCCTCTGTATATATACACCTTGTTTTGTACTTCTTCTCCTTAGTCTGTACTCACCCCTGAAGATGTGAATTACACGAAAGCACTTTTAATGTAGGCTAATATACAACATACATGGTAAAGAAATCTTAAAAATAATAAAAAAAATTACCTTTGCTTAAAGCTGAATATCTTCATTCCCTTAGCTGCAGTCTTCTTCCCCCACTGTGTGTGACTTGATGTGCTCATGCACATCAAGATTATCGTTGAAAATTGCTAAAATGTCTTAAATGCAGGACAAGAAAAACAAATGCTAGTGTAAAACAGCCATGAGAAAAAAATGGTATAATTTCAACATTTCATTTATGGCTGTAATAGCACTATATACAATTTTTTTTAATAATGCACGTGGATGAAGAACAAGGAAAATCAGTACATGGCACTACATGCTAGCCCAAAAACTGCTAGCACCTAAGTTGACAACACCATACAGGCGTACACGTGACTTATCAGCTGACGAAAACTAAACGAGATCTCTACGATTTCCACCTCCCCTCTCTCACATCTCTCTCTCTCATCATCACAGTTTCATGTTTATTTTCCGTGGAGAAAATGATGGAAGCTGAAATTTCGGACTTTTGAAGAATTTTAAAATTTACTTCCGGTTGGAGATTTCAAGACCTAAATGGAGGACTTGTCCGGGAAAATACGGACATATGGCAACCCTAATTCAGAAGTATAGAGTTCCTGAAGAGGGAGTTAAATGGGTGTGTTTACATCCCAGCAACATCTAGTGAGTCGCAACATTTGCCAAGAGCAGAGAGTTCATGAATATTGTCTCCCATTGCCCCATGTGACAAAAGGCAGCATCTGGCAAAAATAATTTGAACATTTGTTTATAATCGTGATTAATATTAATTTCAAAAACTTTGTGAAAACAAAAATAGTAGTTTATTAATACTGTACAGTATACATGTAAATAAATACATGTATAAATATAGATATTCAAGGTATAGGGCTATTTATTCAATCAGACAATAATTATTTATTGAGTCCTTCTTGTAAAAAATCTTGCAACTCACTGGAATATGAATAATTTACACCACAGTTGGCAGTCAGGCAGCATTTCCACTGAACCACGATGGGCTTAAAAGCAACCTCACCGTAACACCCAGAGGTGTAAATTGTTTACACTGATTTACTTGCTGTACAGTATATTAAAGGTACTGATATATAGACTCACTAGAAGCAGCTTGGGACACAAACAAACCCATGTAACTTGCTTTTTAGGATCTCTTATCTTCACAGTGGAATATATTTAATGTATGTTTTTATTTAAAGTATGTATAAAATTATATTTTCCTTATTTTGCTATTTATGAGGTAAATCAAGTATTCAACTGAGTTTGTGTGAATGTGTGGAAGGCATTTTGACTTCTCTAGTGAAGAAAATTAAACCTAACCGAGGAAGAAAATACTAAAAACTGACCAATGCCACACAGAGTAAGAGCTGTGTTGTAGAGATAGAGTCTGTTCACCCATGGCTGGTCCGAGATGTACCCAAGAAGAATACGACTGACAGTGTTGGAGATGCCTACCACTGCCAGCAAGAAAGATGACTCGCGATCGGGGATGCCTAGATGTCGGGCACGATCCTGAAAAACAAAAATCTTTATGAAATCTGGTTAAAAAATTTATGCAATTCATTTAGAAATTTAATCTAGTGTTGAACCAAGGTTGATTCTTTAATGTGCAATTATTACTGTTACCGGTAGCCGTAATCCCTCTTCACCGGAATTCTCCGATAGCCGGAATTGAAATTTTCTCAGAAAATTGTTACCAATGCCGAAATTTTCCAGAAAATTCAAACTTTGGGAACGATCTTCCAAGGGGCACATTTTCTGGAAAATTCCGAGAAATTTTCCCAGTATCTGGAAAATTCTGGGGATGGGGGATTTTTTCTAGCTTTGAGATGAATAATGCATCATTCTGGAAGATTCTAATAAAATTCCAGTACCTGAAAAAATTACGGAGATGGGGGCTTTCTTTCCGGGTTCAAGAGATAATGTAATGTGCAATTTTTTAAAATCCCGTGAAAATTTTCCTGGGGATGAAGGATTTTGTCCAGCTTCGAGAAAGTCATCTCATTACCTGGAAATCTCTCATTCCCGAAAGTGCTCTGCACCAATTGTTCCGGCTAACGGACATATCACTGTACTGCTGTATACGCGTAATCTAATTATGAACCCAGTCAACAATATACAGTCATCCCTTGGTTATAGCACACTTGGTTATTGCGATTTTCGTTATCACGCCTTCATCAAAATCTGCACACCTGCTGTTATAGCGCATTTTTCAGGCCGAGAATTTAGTTATCACGCAGTTGCCTCCAGGTGTATTGTTACCCCCTTGCTTCACCAACATATATTGAGGATAAAATCTTTCACCTACAAATTGACAATAACACATTTGCTGGATGAAAATGGATAGAGGTAACAAAACTTGAAAGCCGTTGTATAAACACAAGCACTCACACATGCCTCGCTCGCGCACTGAACTGCGCATCAGCCCTCGACGTCATCACACGAGTGAGCTGTTTTCATCGGCCGGGATTTTTCAGCCATCAAAGCTCGTCTTTTATTGGCCCGCACCACTACAGCTGGGGTAGAAGGGGAGTTTCAGAAAGCGTCCCTCTATCCCGGCTCCCCGTAGTTGTGATAACCGTGGCTTGTGCACGGAAACCAAGGATTACTCTTTTTTGTGTGGACCCTATTGTTGTCCATGATGGCTGAGGCCCCTCCCAACATGCCCCCACCACCAGCCCCCGTACCTGGACCTGCCGCTCAGAGGCAAATAAAGAAGAGGAAGATGCTGAAGTATGCCGAGAAATTGGAGGTGATGAAGCAAATTGATGGCGGCAAATCGAAGCGGGCAGTGGCCCTCACTTACGGCATCAATGAGTCCACAATTAGGGGGATATACAAGATGAAGGATCATATTGTCAAACACATGGAACTAGCCCAAACCAACGCATTAGCCCAAGCCAGCAGGAGTCCTAATCAGTTACTGACGAAGACCAAACAACCTTTCGTATGGTATGTTCAGAAGCAAGGAAGAAGAAACATGGCCGTCGAGACCAGAGATTTAATGGATACCGCCAAACAACTTTACCAGAAGCTCGCTAGGAAGTGGAAAGTGGCAAACCTACCTGCATTCAACGCTTCTAAAGGTTGGATCGAGAACTTCAAGTCACGACACCAAGTGAGGAATGTGTAGATTTCTGGTGAGGCTGCAAGTGGTGACTGTGCCAGTGCCAGGGTATATCCTCAAATCCTACGGGACATCATCGCAACGGGCCAGTACAACAAGGACCAAATCTTTAATATGGACGAGACGGGGTTCAATTGGAAGGTCATGCCTAAGAGGACATTCATCACCAAGTCGTCAGCCAAGGTCCGCGACAGGAAGGCAATTAAGGAGCGTTTCACCGTCTTGTTCACCACTAATGCTATGGGATCATGAAGGATGAAACCGACAGTTATCCATCGAGCAAAGAAGCCCAGAGCCCACAAACGACAAGATATGACGAGGCTTAATGTGAACTGGCTTACAAGCAAGAAGGCCTGGATGTCAGGGAAGCTGTCACTGGATTGGTTTAACAACTTCTTCGTTCTCGAGGTCCAGGTCTTTTGTGAGGCACAAAACATCTGCTTCAACATTCTCTTGTTGCTAGATAACGCTCCCGGCCATCCTCCTCTACTACGATCAGCACATCTGAACACGAGTGGAATTTCTACCCCCTAATAAGACATCTCTCATCCAGCCGAAGGACATGGAAACAATCTTGTGTGTCAAGGCTGCTTACTCCCGCAAACAATTCAGGAGGATGCGCTTTGCAACTGAGGACGAAAATGCTGTGCAGATGCTGGTCGACAGTGAGGAGGAGGAGGGAGGGGGGGACGTAGATACAGTGGCGGAGCAGCAAGTCAAGCAGTACTGGCGGGCATTTAACGTCAAGGAAGCGATCGACTTAATGGTTGAGTATTGGGGTGCAGTGACGCCAGCGACCGTAAACCATGCCTGGAGAAATGTGTTAGAGGGTTTGCCTGAGGACTGACGACAGGAAGTGCCAGGGAAACCGCAGTCTGTCCAGGCAAAGGTTGAGTATGTGGCAGAGGAGACGAGGCGTCTGGCAGGACGAGGGTTCGACGAGACGACAGAGGACGACATACGGGCTATGTTTGAACCTGTTATGCCTCCAGCAGAGGATATTATGGAGGAAGACAGGCAGGCGGAGGAAGACAGACGGAACAGAGAAGACAGCCCAGAAGCACAACCCGCCGCACAGCCCATGTCAAAAGTCAGGGAGATCATTGAGTTGAGTGAACGGTTGAAAAACCTCATCGAACAGCACCCTCCCCCGGCCGGCGACAGTGAAAGTGTGTCTGGTATCATAGGCAGAGCACTCCAGCCTTATGTTAACCAGCTAAACCATCACCACAACGTATTTCTACAGAGACAAATTACGGACTTTTTTCGTCCACAACAACAGCCACTTGTACTACCTCAAACTGACTTAGAGAGTTTTCAAGAGAATGATGAGTTACTCGAAGAGTTAGTGTCAGGTGGGGACCACTAACTCTCTACCCTCTAGCCTCAGCATCCCTTCCCTCAAGACCAGTTCAAGTCTGTAAGTACAGTAATGTACCCAATAACAAAAGTATTCTTCCTTATTGTACCCTTTTCAACACTTTGTAATAAACCTAGCCATGCCAATGTGTGTTTCTGATACTTACCATAACATTATCTATATCTTTAGTGGGTCTAAATGGTCGTAAAATGGGAAAATTGGGGTTGAGTCTTGGGTGCCTGGAACCAATTAGAATAAATCCCATAGGTTCTGTACTTTCGTTATCGGCGGGGTCCCAATTAGGCGCGATAACCAAGGGATGACTGTACTGTACTGTATATACTTGTGACACTGGCCAGTTGCTTCTGGTGTTATGGCAGAGGGGTACCAAGTGAAAGCACTAGGATCCCGCTTCCTCTATCAAGGAATAAACAATTAAAATTTAAACTGAAAAAAAAAACATTCAAATAATGGGACGTAGCGAACCTAAATGGCCCTAGAGCGGGCACAGTCACGTATGCATCGCGTATTCTTATAGATTGTGCTGCCAGGCATACGTTATCTAGTGAATTTAGTCAATATTGTACAGTAACAATGGACCTAAGTGCAAACCTGTATTGTACATGTACTAAATGATTACGGCACTAAAATTGTTATGTCTATTGCAAATATAGCTTGTTTATACAGGTATTCAAATAAATTACTATCTTACAAGAATCCCAGCAATGTAAGTTATATTTACCCAGGTCGTTTGGGTGGCAAATTATGAGAAGAGCTTAGTCACTCTTAAGTAATGATAAATAAACACGCAGACAGGCCTTCAGCGCCAACTGTCACTCTTATCTCAAATAAATAAACAAACAAACACCAGAGATTCTGTTACCTCACCTCACCTCCCGCCCCCTACCCCCAGCTCCCCCCTCTTCCCACACGCTCCTGGCTACCTACCTCTACCTCGTGTTCCCAGACAAAAGATTGGTGATTCTTTTCTGTTTATTTTATATAATATCTCAGACTAAAGTTAGGATACTATAATTTGCATTGCTGAAATCCTTGCATGACAGAGATTAATTTAAATATAAGCGTACTGTAGTACATTTTATAAAAACATTTTATAAAAAGTTTCTCAACTGTATTTTTGGGTAGATGTACATAAATTTCTTCATTTATTTTCATCCATTTACATGCACACACCATACTAAAAGAAACGTGAAAGAAATAAATGACCTTAGTGCAAAGCTGGAGTGCACATGAACTAATTTGATTACGGTACTAAAATTTTTATGTCTAGTGCGAATTACAACATGTTTATATTCAAATAAATCAGTATCTTACAAGAATCCCAGCATTGTTAATTATATTATCCTAGGTCATATCACTGGCATTTTATAATGAGAGAAGCTTAAATAAACACACAGAGACCTTCGGCTCAAACTTATCACCTGAATCCCCCCAACCCCTCACTGGCTGGCTGGCTCCGTCCGTCAGTCCCTAACTCCCGCCCCCCCCCCCCAGTCAGGGTGTTAGGCTTTCAGTTTTTATCTTATATAATATCTCAGACTAAAGTTAGGAGATTATAATTTGCATTGCTGGAATCCTTGCAAGACAGCCAATAATTTGAATATAAACGTCATATATTTTGCTCAAGAGATAAAAATTGTTGTACATTAGTGTACAGTACTGTAGTACATTTCATAAAAAGTTTTTCAACTGTATTTTTGGGTAGATTTACATAGATTTCTTCTTTTATTTTCATCCATTTACATGCACCTTAGTAAAAGCGTAATAGAAATAAATGGCGTTAATTATAAGCTAGATTACGCTCTTTTCAATTCTTTCTGATTACTAAAATTGTTTTTTGTCAGTACCAAATTATAGCATGTTTATATTCAAATTAATCACTATGTTACAGAATCCCAACAATAGTATTATATTCACAGGTCATTTTCACTGGCTTTTTTATAAGAAAGCTTAGTCACTTAAGAACTAGTAAATATACGCGTTAGACCTGGGCCTGTGCCAACTATCAAGCGATACTACCTCCCTCCCCCACTTATCTCGCTCGCTCCTCCCTCTCTCTCCCCATCTGCCCGGCGTTGCTGGGTCTTGTAAAACAGTGAATAATTTTAATATAAGCGTCATGTATTTGCACATGAGATAAAAATTATCCTGTATCACAATACAGTAGTGATTTAAGAGTAAAAAGTGTACATGTGCATATATATTAATCCACATACGTGAGTATTAATTTTTAGTCACTTAACTGATACACAGACTCTGTCTGCTATCAACTCCCTCCCCACCTCAGCCTCGGCGTGTTGAATCCTGAACGTCATGTGACGCCAACTGCATGACTGTATATATATATATATATATATATATATATATATATATATATATATATATATATATATATATATATATATATATATATATATATATATATATATATATATATATATATATATATATATATATATATATATATATATATATATATATATATATATATATATATATATATATATATATATATATATATATATATATATATATATATATACATACAGTCATGCACCGTTAACGCCCTAGATACGCTTGAAACGTGACGTTAACCGAAATGGACGCTGTCCTATCATCACATAAACTTATTATATTTACGTATGTGGATTACTATATACGCACATATACACTTTACTCTAAATCACTACTGTATTGTGATACAGGATATTAATTTTTATCTCTGCAAAAAATACATGATGTTTATATTAAAATTATTCACTGTTTTACAAGGATTCCAGTTGCTGGGCAGATGGGGGGAGAGCTTAGGAGGGGGCATGGGGGAGGGGAGTGGTTTGAGTTGGCACAGGCCCAGGTCTTATGCGTATTTATTAGTTCTTAGGTGACAAGCTTCTTCCTATAAAAAGCCAGTGAAATGACCTGTGATAACTTACATTGCTGGGATTCTTGTAAGATGTTGATTTATTTAAATATAAACAACCTATAATTCGACTAGACATAAACAATTTTAGTACCGTAATCAAATTAGTACATGTGAACTCCAGCTTTGCACCAAAGTCATTTACAGTATTCCTTTACGCTTTTTTAGTAATGGTGTGTGCATGTAAAATGATGAAAATAAATGAAGAAATTTATGTAAATCTACCAAAATACAGTTGAAAAACTTTATATTATAAAATGTACTACAGTATTGTAAACTAATGTGCTACAATTTTATCTCGAGCAAAATATATGACGTTTATATTCAATTAATCTCTGTCTTGCAAGGATTTCAGCAATGCAAATTATATTATCCTAACTTTAGTCTGAGATATTATATAAAATAAACACCTTAGGCACAAAGTTATCACCACCTGTCTAGGAACACAAGGAGGGAGGTAGCCAGCAGGCGTGGGGAAGAGGGGGGAGCAGGGGCAAGTGAGGTGAGATGACAGAGTGTCTGGTGTTTGTTTATTTATTTGAGATATGATTTGACAGTTGCCGCTGAAGGCCTGCGTGTTTATTTATCATTCCTTAAGAGTGACTAAGCTCTTCATAATGCCACCCAACGACCTGGGTGAATATAACTACATTGCAGGGATTCTTGTAAGATAGATGATTTTGAATACCTGTATAAACAATCTGTATTTGGAATAGACATAACAATTTTAGTACATGTACAGTACAGGTTTGCACTTAGGTCCATTGTTAACCAAGGGACCACTGTACAGTGTACTTGTGTTGTACAATATTGACTAAATTCACTAGATAACCGACACAACTAATGGTTAGTAAAACTTGTCAAGTAAGGAGTGTCAAGTCTGTCAGCACGGTGGCACGCGGTGAGTGCTTGTGTCCCCATCATAGAAGTCCGTTTCTCTCAGCCAGGATGCCTGAGTCCTCCGCTTCTCAATCTTAGACACCAGAGACTTCGTTATTTCTTAGTAATGACACAGAATTTGAAATGTCAACTCCAATTGCAACTGGGGTTGCAATTGTTAGAGCAACTAGATATGTCTGATTACAGAAATGTGTTATTGTCAATTTGTAGGTGAAAGATTTTATCCTCAATAGATGTAGGTTAACATACACCTGAGGCAATGTTTAAAAAAAGCCTAAGGAAGGAAGCACATATTCCTTTAACACATAATATCTGGCCAGTATGGGGAGGATCATCGTGTCTCCATGAGGGGTCGTGAAGTGGTGGTCCAGCACAGAATTTTTGGGTGAGGGCATGGACGATATGCGATCGGATTGTTCAGGTGATCTATATATATATATATATATATATATATATATATATATATATATATATATATATATATATATATATATACAGTACAGTGGTCCCTCGGTTAACGAACGCAATAAGTTCCACAGAGTCGTTCGTTAACCGAAAATTTTGTTAACCGAATCCATTGTTTCAATGGGATATTGGGTAATTGGTTCCAGCTCACAGAAAAGTACATACAAATAAAAAAAAAATGCAGTAAAGTACACTTACTTTGAGGTGTGTATGTAGAAGGTTCCTGGTTGATGATGATGATGGGAATTAGAAGTGGGGGTGGAGGAGAAGGGAGAAGAGAAGGAAGTGGGGATGGAGAAGAAATCACCTTTCAGGGGACCCATGCTTGATGCAGTAAGTTCAGCAATAAAATTTTAAGTTCACTAGGTGTAATTCAAGATTATTTTATTTAAATCAACACTGCACTGCGCTATATATTATCTATATGTTAACTAAATTTCAGAATGACCAATAATTTTAATGTAAAAATGCAAAAATATTCAAGACACCAACAGAATTGATGTTCACTTCGCTGTCAACAAAGCCAAACTGACGCCTGGTGGCTGAGTCAAGCGGCTGATGGGCGCATAAAAAGACTAGTTCTCTGTAGTGCATATATTATCAATATGTTAACTCAATTTTAAAATGACTAATAATTGTAATATAAAAAATGCAAAAATATTAAAGAGCACAACTTTCTTGATATTTACTCCACTGGAAACGAATGTAAACATAGAACAGATTACTGAATTGGCAGACTAGCCCATCAGTTAAATAGCTGATGCTCACAACAAAACGTGTTTTTCGTAACGATTTCGTTAATCGAAGTTTTGTTCGTTAACCGAATTGAAGATTCATATGGGAGGTAATTCGTTAAACGAAATTTTGTTAATCAAACCGTTCGTTAACCGAGCGACCACTGTATGTATATGTATACAGTATTACCCCGCCTAACGCGGTTTCACTTAAAGCGTTTTATCATATACGCGGTGCCTCGCCAGAGCTGAACTTTCACTTAACACGGATTTTTTCCACATATACGCGGTGAGTGTCCGGCTCGAGACGCTATTTTTAGATTTGCCCCACCCGCCACCCTGCCTGACTGCCTGTTTTAGCTCATAAAATTCATACAAATTACCCGGCCAGAATATAATTTACATTGCTGGAATTCTTATAATTTGGTGATCATTTTGAATATAAACATCATATATTTTGCATTAGACATACAAATTTTAGATAAAAATTTTTCTCAGAGTAACTATGTTATCTTTTGTGCAAAATATATGACATTTATATTCAAAATATTCCTGGTCTTACAAGGAATCCAGCAATGTCAATTATATTATCCTAACTTTAGTTTGAGGTATTATTTATTAAAATTTAGTGGTTATCCCACACATCTCCTTGGGACGGTTGGTGGGGGGTGGGGGGGAGGGAGGGACCGACCGACCATCTGTTACCCCGTGAAGAATTATTTTTTTTTTTATTAACTGAAGATATTTGGTTTAGCTCATAAAATTCATACAAATTACCCGGTCTGAATATAATTTACATTGCTGGAATTCTTATAATTTGATGATCATTTTGAATATAAACATCATATATTTTGCATTAGACATACAAATTTTAGATAAAATTTTTTCTCAAATTAACTATGTTATCTTTTGTGCAAAATATATGACATTTATATTCAAAATATTCCTGGTCTTACAAGGAATCCAGCAATGTCAATTATATTATCCTAACTTTAATCTGAGGTATTATTTAATACTAAATGTTAAAAACTCTGGAAGGGAGGATTGGTGGGGGGTGGGGGGGAGGGTTGGGACTGACCGCGCGGTTGGAAGAGGGGGGGAGGCAAGGTGGGGTACTTTGATTGACAGATAGTGTCGTGAAGATTATTTTTTTTTTTATTAACTGAAGATATTTGTTTTAGCTCATAAAATTCATACAAATTACCCGGTCAGAATATAATTTACATTGCTGGAATTCTTATAATTTGGTGATCATTTTGAATATAAACATCATATATTTTGCATTAAACATACAAATTTTAGATAAAAATTTTTCTCTAGGTAACTATGTTATCTTTTGTGCAAAATATATGACATTTATATTCAAAATATTCCTGGTCTTACAAGGAATCCAGCAATGTCAATTGTATTATCCTAACTCTAGTTTGAGGTATTATTTATTAAAATTTAGTGGTTTTCCCCCAAAAATTTCTCTGAGAGGGAAGAGCCGGCAGTGTAGTGTGAGAGGGGGAGGGAGTTGAGTCCATTATTTGAATGGACATTAACTTGGCGACTGTATTTCTCTATTTCTCTTAAGTATGTGCATGTACCATCATAAAATTAAGATGTTATTTTTACTACAACATAGGTATGTGCCTTCAAAAAGTGGAGTTTGGGGGTCGGGCCGGTTTCTATTGGAATTAATCCCATATGTTCTGTTGTTCACTTAACGTGGATTTCACTTAACGCGGGACCCTCTGGGTTCAATTGACCGCGTTAAGTGGGGTACAACTGTATATATATGTATATATATATATATATATATATATATATATATATATATATATATATATATATATATATATATATATATATATATATATATATATATATATATATATATATATATATATATATATATATATATATATATATATATACACAGAGAGAGAGAGAGAGAGGAGAGTATATTAATAATAATACTTACAACTATAAATATGTAAGGTGCATTAAATCCAATGGAAGTACAGAAGTTGGATAACGCAAACAGAATGAAGATCCCATCTGTGAGGAGACCCCAGTCCATCAAGCTGGTCATTGCATCCCTTGTCTCCCTTGAGCATGGCACACATCCACACACCTGTAAATTTCCAAAAGTGATTACTAGCCCACTTACTCAAGCTCACTCACAAACACATGCGATAACATATAAAAATACAGGTGAACCCCAATAACCAAAGTCCCGTAGACCGCCATTTTGCATAGCCAATGTTTACAAATAGGGGAAATACTCTGCAAGTTTCATTGCATACCCTGTTCATCCAACGTTGAGGGAGGAAGATCGGCAAAGGTATTTTTTAATTTGGTGAGTTTTTGGAGGGCGGTTGGTTCCTAACACCCTCAGTTTGTTATGTTCTTATGGGATTAATTGCTTCGATAACCGTTGATTCTAACCAACGACTTTTCCTGGTCCCTCTATGATTCGGTTATTGGGGTACACTTGTTAAAGATACATTGACAGATGCAGATGGCCCTCACTTTATGTTACTTCATTTAATGGAATTTTGCTGTTTTGTAAAAATTAAATTTCTACCAACACTTTGCACATAATTTTTTTTTTAATTATGCTACTGACTGGATTGGATGTGTGAAACTTGTGTGACCAGTGTAGGCACTTGTGAACTTTTACTAGGAAATTGGGGCCCATGAAGCCTTGTGAGGTAATAGGTTGCTACCAAACAAGGAGGTACCACCTGGGAAGATATTGGAAGCATAATGTGTTGTCTAATGGTAGACTCTGCTGCCATATGGCATTACGAAAATTGTGACCTAGTCCCAGGTTGCTGATCTGACTTTCTGCCACATTTACACAGGGTCTCAATTGTTTTTCTTTCTTTGACAACACAACATAGCCTATATCGTTTCTCACTATTAATCTTTTTTCATTTGTGTATTTATTTATGGTTCTTTATTATTATTATTATTATTATTATTATTATTATTATTATTAGGCCTATTATTATTATTATTATTATTATTATTATTATAAAAATAAAAATAAATGAATAAATAAAAATAATGTCACCTAAACTGCATCTACATTATTAAATAAATATTTTAAGAAACCTGCAATCCCTCTCTGAAAGCATGTGCTACCAATGGATCCTCCAGATGCTTAGTATTAAAACCTCTTCTGGAGGCTTTCTGCCTCTGCTGTTTTGGAGCAACGTGAAGTGAGAGCTTGGATCTGACAAGTTGATGATCAGTGTCACAGTGGTCTGAGCCACACATGGCATGGGTGATGAGGACATCTCGGCGATCTCTTTCTCCGATAATGATGTTGTCAATGAGATGCCAGTGATGGATCGTGGGTGTTGCCACAAACCCTTAAACTTGTCGGCCTGCCTAAACAAGGTGATGTTCTGTGCAGCACACTTGCTGAGGAGGAGTAGTCCATTTCTCCCAGGGTTCCCTGCCAAATGTTAGCATCTCTGCCAACTCTGGCATTAAAGTCGCCAAGGAGTACAACCTTGTCTTCTCTGGGGATAGAGGTTAGCACTCTGTCGAGGTCATCATAAAAGGCCTCCTTGATGTCATCCTCTGCATCCAGTTTGGGGCGTATGCACTGATGAAGAAGGCATGATGTGAGTGATTCAGTGGGACTCGAAGTGTCATGAGGTGCTCGTTGAATCACAATAGGCATTTCAGTTAGCCTGTGTGGGATGCCTTGGCGGATGGCAAAGCCAACTCCATAAATGCGGTTTCTCTCCGCAGCAGGCTTACCCTTCCAGAAGAAGTTGTAGCCAGACCCCCGTTCTGTGAGTCGGCCCTCATCTGGGAGCCGGGACTCACTGAAGGCTGCTATGTCGATGTTACCCCCTGTATACCTGGATCTGTAAATTTGGTTGTGTTTTTGACTGCATAAGGATGACCTTACTGGGTGCGGTTGCCCAGTGAGGTTGGGTTTTTAGGCAGGCTATGGGCACCTTTTCTTGCCCCCTCCCCATGTGGGGTGAGCAGAGTGGCTGCTCAGTTGCACAGACAGGACCGGATTGCACTGCTGCCTAGATCCCAGTGCATAAACGACCATCTTATCTGTGCCGCCCATGTACAGAGTTGTGACTAGAGACTCCTGGCAGTCATCTCTGCCTGTCCCCGTCACCACTAATCCATCGCCATAGGACTTTTAGGGGTATAGGGGTTTTGATGATGATGAGAGGTATGATGAGCTGGATGATGGCTGCATGTGAGTTGATTTATGTGATGAAGCAGGAGCAGAGGCTGTAACCACACACTTTGGCTCTCCCTTTTTCTAATCCAGTGGTGCAAGTGTTGCAATAACTGGAAGAGGGAGAGTTGCAATGGACTGCCAATAGCCCAGTTTGTTGGGTTTCACCTTAGTAGCCTGTCCATCATGCACTGCCTTTGGTCGCTGGTGTAGTCGTTGGGTTCCCATGGCATCCATCTCTTCCGCCTATACCACCGTTCTGGTCTTGTTGGAGCTCTGTAAGCATGTCTGCCTGATGTGTGGTTCCACCGCAGATTTTTTGTTTGGGGTTTACTTCTGTAACCTTATACCTACCAAGGTTAATCTGCAAGGCAGCTGAGCAATGGTTGCTAGGCACCAGAACTTGTGGGCCTATGTGCCATCTGTTGGGGCCCACCACTGCTACTCCAAGGCCCCCTGCTGGTTTAGCCTGGGCCCACGAGGCACCCAGTTACCGTGTGTTGCCACGAGGACACACAGCGAGAATCTTGATGGTGAGGAGGCTGTGTACTGGCAGGGGAAGACTTATGCAAGTTGCTTCCCTGTTCGCCACGAGGGCTAGCCAGAGGTGGCAGCTGAAAGCGAGAGTGAGCAAGCAGTGCTGCCACTCTAGATGCATTTCACCACCCTGTGTGTGGCTGCACACCCACACTACATCCTTGACCACTGGAGGGTCAAGACCTATTGGGTGCCTGCTCCTGCTGTGGCAGCTGCCCTCAGCCACTGTTTGGCCCATATTCCAAGCCCCCCTCCTTAACCCATCCTCACCACAGGAATATCAACATAATACTATCATAAGTGATAATTTCATGTGGGAAAGAAGTGGCATCAGTGTTGAACAGTGATGTACAGTATTTAAGCCAGAGAATTCAGCACTAGACAGTACCAGTGAGAGCCGTGACCCACCAGTGTTATAAGCACCCCTGGGAACTAACCACCACCTTCTGACCAGGTGGCGTTAATCAGTCCACCCTGGGAACAACAGTGGGTCGGCTTTACACCTGACTACGAGATAACACATCACTTAGCAGAGAGTGAGGTACTGTACTGTGACACCACCCCACACCACCCAGTGTCGACATGACCATGTGAGGTTTTCATTTCAACACCCATGGACGAGTTACTCCACCACGTGAACACCACACCACCCGATGTCTCCATGACCACGTGAGGTCCTTCATATCAACACCTATTGACGAGTTACTCCACCACTTGAACACCACACCACCTAATGTCTCCATGACCACGTGAGGTCCTTCATATCAACAACTATTGACGAGTTACTCCACCACTAGAACACCACACCACCCGGTGTCTCCATGACTACGTGAGGCCCTTCATGTCAACACGCGAGGGCGAGTCACTACACCACGTGGCCTAAGTGACCTCACACAGTATGACAAGAGACCAGCCAGGGCCATCAACTGCAAACTATAATAATTTGTTTGTTCAATTCATGTTCTTTTTCCTTTTCGTAATGAAAGTTTTTGTTTAACGACCCACCTACTCCATGTCTTTATATGTAATAACTCATTTTTGTCAAAGGTATAATTTCAGCCTTCGGGCTGCTGAAACTTTTCAATAAACCGTTAATTATTATTATTATTATTATTATTATTATTATTATTATTATTATTATTATTATTATTATCACACACACACACACACAAACAATAGTCATGCATATCAATACCGCCACCACTCCAGTGCAAGCTCCAGCAGTCACAGTGGGTGCTCGTCCTCTCCAGTTAGTGCAGTCTACCAAACTCCTGGGTGTTACCATACCGTATATGTCAGCATATAAGACGGAATTTGAACCTTAAAAAATCAGCCTAAAGTTAGGGTTCGTCTTAAATGCCGGGTATAAAATCCAAACTTCTACATCCTGTGGTTTAGTGTGTCACCAGTTGTGTTGGAAAACATCGTAAAACACTCGCCTTAATCCCACGGTCCTACCACTAATTATTTTCTACTGAAACTTATGTTTGGGAAGCTGGATTAAAAATAAGATTACTGGTATACTGTATTAAAATAATAAAAATGTATTATAAACCTGTCTAACATACAGTAAACACCATAAAATAACAACATAATAAACGCAGGTATCATCACACACCGCCCGCCATTTGCAACTGCTGCCGAAGTAAACAAACAGCCCGTCCCACCAATCGTCTCGCGAAGCAAGTATATAAATTAAATAAAATACCTGCAGTGTATCTTATGCCTACATTTCTAATATATTACAGTATATTATAAATAAATAAATAAACAAATAAATTAATGAATCCATTTCAAGAAAATAGTAAAATTTTACTCGACACCGACATTAGTTCCAGTAAAATAACTGACGCCTAAGTGACGTCACTAGTGTTTACACTACACCAGCTGGTAACGTTTGATGCAGATTATGGTAGGTAGTTGACAATATTTTGCGGTAATTTTATACAGCGAGTATAGCTGTGTGTGCTTAAGTGCTTTTGCTCTAAAACTGTACTCTAACCATTGAAAATGGCTTCCAAGCACCCATCCAGTGCTACTGATGCTAGTGTAGTTAAGAGGAAACGTAAGACCATTACCCTGGCTACGAAAAAGGATGTATTAGCGCGTTTTAAAAAAGGGGAATGAGCTGTGGACATAACCGCTGTGCTTGGTCTAACCCCCACAACGGTGCATACTATCCAGACCAACACTGACAAGATTTAGGTTAGTGCTGGAAGTGGTTCTCCTCTGAGTGCAACTTTGATAGAGAAAGGTGTAAAAGATGCTGGCAATGTGGATGGAGGACCAGAATCAACACAATGCCCCTGTGAGCTTTGTGTTTATCCAGCACAAGGCCAGATCCTTGTTTGATGACTTATAGGCAAAAGAGGCTG